TCGGACAAAAAAAATTAGAATATTGAAATAAAAATGCACGAACATGGACGCTAAATACACATTACGCTAATAAATTGCTTCGAATTATCTGCACATTTATCGTTGGTGCGTCTTCTCTTTTTCAAGCATAGACCATTAGCAGTGTAGATAAATTTTAACGATTACATGCAATTTGCTGGAGATACTAACGGAAGAAGAATCAGAAGTACGAACAATTATAACGAGCCGCGAAATATTCATCAGGAACCATATTGCCGCGACTGAAGCCGATTTGTTGTTTCCGAAGAAAAAAGAAAGGATAGAGAAAGATGTCGAAAGACCATTAATGCAGTAGATATTATAACTTTAATTTTATAAAATCTATCGTATGAGATCAAATTAATATTTCCAAATGTTATATCTTGCAGTTAGATAAAATAATTGGAAATGTACGTACAACTTATAAAAAATAGTAATCAATATGTTTTCTAGAAATTATATTTAACGAAAATTTTGTTATAACAGCATCAAATGACTTCACTTTCAATTTCCGTTCTTTCAAATATTCCTACTTTCGAATTTATTTTTGCAAATATCTACTATGTTGACAAAATTTTGAATTACATTTTTATTGGCATATCTGCAACTTAATGTTGTTAATTAAATAATTCAAAGATTATCTTTCAGTTTCTAAAAATTCATATATTTAAATTTACATAAATAATCACATTACAGTTTTTTAAATATTAATAATTTTATTCAAAGCTAAATTGAATAAAGCTTTTTATACAAATTTGATGACAAAAATTTCTATATATATTATCTTCTATTTCTTCAGTTATATATTCATAAAAATATAAATTTATAAAAACATCTACAATCTATTTATTAAAAAAATTTCAAAATACTTAAGTAGCTTCCAACAAAGAATTATAGAAGAAAAAGCAAAATTCTTCTTTCTTCTCAAATATACTTATATACTTCAATAAAAACAAAACTATTATTTTATCTCACATAGTCACGAATTCAGTTTCACTTTAAAAGAAGATTACACTTCAACTTTCCTTCCAAGTTCTAATATAATACAAGAAGCTAAATATCACCGGCTCGTTACCTATTTTTCAACGAAATGTGAAACAAGAATCACCTAACCATCACGACAGCTTAGAGGACAGTTTCAAACGGCTTCGTGATCTTTGATATTTGAATTCTTTTTTACTGGTTTCCACAGAATTAAGAATGAAAAGAAATACAAATTGCTAAAGTGATGTCTGAGTCAGGATGAATAATATGTTAATTTAAAAACGAAGATTAATGAAAAGCACGTCATAAAATCACGCCATTACTATAAAAATCACGAAATAAGAATCTTCGGATTGTTAACATGAACGAGAAATTAAATGGACTAATAATTCATGATAAAAAAATAAAACAATTTATAATTAAAGATTAGTATTTATTTGACGTTGATAAAAGGTTTTATATTTTAATTTATTTTAGTTTATTTTTATTCTTATTACAAAAGCTAGACTTTTCTAGGAAAGACTTTCTGAAGGATTTCTTTATTTAAAAAAAAAGGATTTTTTATTTAGAAACCGAATTAATATGTAGATACTCATGAACCTAAACTTGATAGAAAACTAGTACAAAAACTATATATAATAATACAAAATATACTATAAATAACTTAATACAAAAATTTCAATTTGTAAGATTTAATAATTGGACAATTATAAGATGTTTCAATGAAATGATGATTTCTATATGAAATTTTTTTATATTTTTAAAGAGTTCAAAATATGTAGATTACACATCCAATTATAAAATAAATTATTCTATTATCACTGTACTGTCCAATAAATATCTGCAAATATTGTACTTATAAGTATAAACTATTGTTTAGATATCTATAAAATCGTAGCTGAGCATTTGATTTTTAGCTAGATTTTTAGCTAATTGTAAGATTCAATTATAATTAAATTTCTCAAGAGTGTATATAATACAAATTTATCTTGTTCTAATTTAACAATGAGTTCACTTTGAAATATTGTTTTCAAAATAGTAAGCAAAATTATGAGATATTACATATTTGTAATATTTAAAAGAAAAAAATGTAGACATATTTCATATATTGTCGTTGGGATAAACACAAAATCTTAAGTTTGAACAATAGAAAATTTAGAAAAACAAATGTGAATATGAACTGAACAAAGTTATAAGAGACTTGGCCTATTAAATAGAAGATCAATTCTTGAAATATGATTAAATTGATCAACCTATAACATATAAAACAATTAACAAAAAACTTATAACAGAATAAATCCTAACAGTTAGAAAGTTTTTCACATTTTCTAATTAAATGAATTATTTATTAGTTAAAAATAAAAATTATCACACTTAAAAGATTCTTAAACTGCATAATATAGCCTTATTACTAACATAGATAGTTTTTCTGCAAGTTCTTACATTTCAATAACAATATTCTATAATGTCCAAATATATTTTACAATAATTTATAATAATTTATATTGTACTATTGCATATTTAATATTTTCCGTTTAAATAATTTCTTCCAAATTTAATAAAAATACTTTGTATAGCTCAAAACAAAGTCTATTCAATAAACAAGGTGTTGCATTCTTATATCTTATATGTTGTATTATTCTTATATTAAATTTTTTTATTCAATTTAATATTCAAAGTTAGGAATTTTATTCATTTTCAATTTTAGTTATTATTTAATTTTATTGACACTTTAACATTTCGCGCAGAAAGTTCGGATATTATAAATAAAAATGACTGAATGTCTAAATGATAAATAACTTTAATATACAATTTTGTAAGATTATTGTAAAATCGGTGTAAGAAGAATATACGATAAATATTTGGAAAAAATAATTTGGACAAGTTGTCCATAAACAATATTCTCGAAGTCGGTCAAATTATAATGATGTATTCTATTTGTGAAAAATAGAATTCACGTAATAGTATAAGTTTGATTGTGTCCATGTCGTCTGCTTCAACTAATGAGGCAGAGAGGTATGATTTTGATGACACTGTTAATAATAAAAAAACTTTTGTATGTTACTAATAATTGAACATAAAATCTTAGAATATCTACGTATCTTACAACCTAAACAAAATGAAAAAAAGAAAAAAGAAATCCAATTTATTTTGAATTTTGTAACTTTTTAAATACACATTATTTAAATATTTATATTTATTATGTATTATTATAAATTATTTCTAAGTATTATATAATTATCTATATACTCAATAATTTAGAACATTTATTGGAAAAAGTGATTAAGAGTTGACCACGAGATACAGTTACTTTTTATGTCTTTATTAGTAATTCTAATAGAAAATGTAGATATGATTCTTTTTTATCATTTGTATAGTCGCAATTAGTAATGAATTTAATAAAAACTTAAAAATATTATTTTTTTCTAATTAAACTTTACAGATTATTTCGTTAAATTTGAAGAACATTAATTCAGCACATTAAAATAAACAATATTATTTCAGCAGTTGCTTCAAATTTACAATAAATCTCATGTTACAACAGAATTATAATATATATATTTTTTTGTATGATTTGTAGATCATGGGATCTTTATAAGAATTTATAAATATGGTTAGTTCACAATCTGCGTTCATTGGAAGATATTTGAAATAAAATTATTGTGACTCACGGATGTAAATTATATCAATTGTGAAATCGCTAACATGCATTTTATGTATGAATTTTTCGAGTTAATGTTAGAAAAACCAGACTTTTGTATGAAGAATGATTTCCAAATCATTGTTTATAGAAAATATTTCACAGAATATATATACAAGCGATTTCTATAATATTTTTTTAAGAATACAGGCAATAATACACGCACCAAAATCAACAACTTTTTTGGAGAATTCACTCTTATAAAACAAAATAAGTTTTATAATTCAAAAACATAGTTATGCAAGTGTTATTTGCTTATTTTATATGTGTTAAATTCGCTGTTGCTGTACTTCCCATATTTATTCCTTGTATAATAAATATTCAAGATTAATTTGATTTTTGTATTTTTTCTTTTATACTTTAAATTATAATTATAAGTATTATATGACATTTTTTGTTTATAATTACCTTCCTAAGATTACCTAACTCTCGTAATTTTATTATTCATATTATAACAGCTCTTATATTTTCAATTTATTTCCTCGTATATTGTATCGTGCTAGGACACAAAAGATCTACTAGGTTAACTCTCATTAAAGTCATATAGTAGATAAACAAAAGGTACACTATATTATAAACAAAACTCATGAAAATCTTAATGAGCAATCATTCCATTATGAACGTTCGCATATTAGACTATTAGAGTAACAGAATATTAGATAATGGAAATTTAGATAATACATAGAGATTTCACAGATCTGTACTGTTCTATTATTTTGACATACATACAGATCAACACTTAATGCAATAAAAAATAATTATGAAAATAATATCAGTTTAGAAATATTCGACATATTTTTTATTAATTACTTCTAAAATACAGATATCTACAAATAATATGAATTATGAAACTCATCGTATAGATATCATTTTTGCAATAATATTTGTCAATGTAATGTACTAATTTCACATGAAACTTTGTCGATGTAATTTAACTTTTGCAAATGAGACATTATTCAGATTTAAAAATAAATTAATGTCGACAACCATTCGATTCGAAAATCATTCATTGTGATTCTTCTTCCATAGAACATTTAAATTTTAATAACGAAAATACGTTGGAACATAAATATATAATTTGAAGATCTAATACAGAAAAATCTCAATATGTTCAAAAATAAAAATATATGATATTAAAAATATTTTAGTATTAATACTAATAATGCTAATTACTTGCAAAATATTAACCTATTAAGAAATCAGCAATATTCATGTAATTCTAGTGAGCAGCCAAAAGTTCTTTCGATCGTTACACGATATAGAATAAACTGAATTTCCTCAATTAATTCAAGTGTACCTGAATGCGTGCACTTCCTGTGGTTTTGATGACCTTGGCAGTTAACATGGTGTTCATGAGAATGATGCGTATGATGATACTGCTGGCGTTGCTGTTGCTGATGCTGGCTAATCGGTGATTTAAGCACGCTCAGCACCAGATCCTCGTGAGATGGCATGATTCTCGTGAGCTGCCTGCTCTGCCTGAATAAGGTTTCCTGTTCTCCACGGTTCATCCTGCATCCAAGTCGTCGACGTTGCAAATAAAATCCCGGATACCATTCGTTTCTCCCTCGACCCGGACCGCTACCTAGCATAACAGCATGCAGCATTCCGGCGCTCTCTTATAGCAGGAACTTTCGTTCATCCGACTCACAACCGGACAATTTTCTCTTCTTTTCATGGTCGTCTCTGATGGCCGTGTCTCGATTACTGTATGACAACCGGTCTTTCTTTTTTATCCACTATTTGATAAAACATAGCATGTTTCATACTATTTAAATGTAATATTATTCAAGTATTTTGTTGGAAATACTTCTTTTTCTTTTTGTTTTTAATTCACTTTGATGGTTTAATTTTTATTGGACACTTAAAGAGAAATGGTAAGTAACAATATTTCAGATCAAAATTTGAATGTACTTTTCTGGTCATCATTTAATCAACCTATTAATTTATAGTATTTATACTAGTTAAGTGTTGCAGAACTTCTTTTAATATAATTTAATCATTTAATTTGTTATAACTATTTAAGAAAAAATGAGCGTGCTGAATACCTTTTTTTTTTCTTATATAAAATACTTGATTTATGTTATTTGAACACTATTTGGATATTGGAAATGCCTACTTTGTTTTTTACTTCGTTTTTTGATAATGATCTATGGATTTTAGTTAGAGTTCCGAGTGTACTATTTTTAGACTTCGTTTAGTGAAATATTCGAAATTTGTAGCATTATCATAATCTGAATGTTTTACATTAAAACATTATCTGAATGTTTTAACGATAAGATTTAAGGAGAAAAATAGGTCGTAAAATTTCAAGTTCTTGCACAATTATTATTCACAATTCTGTAAAACTTAATTCGACGTGGACGCATTATTCAGACACTAGAGTACACTTCGATGAACTAATCATATAGTAAGATTGTAATTATATCACAAATTTTAATGTACTTCCATGGAAATTAATATTAAATGGGTAAAATTTATATACTGTTAAAATTTATATATTGTTTAATACTGCTGATTAATGTATGATTGTATCCTTTGAACGTGCTGATCTTATGTGTGTGTTATATGTAGGAAAAAGTATTTTTCGAATCTGTAAGCTGTAATCAACTTCTTCTAATTTCCAATTCACTAATAAATATTGATAATCTTTTTCTAAAATCTTTACACACGTAAACATGCTTTGTGTTGAAAAAAAAAAATGATAACTAATCCCAGACTAAATGTCTTTCTTCTTGCAATTTAAATTAATTGCAATAATCGTGAATTTAATTCGAAATTTCAGTTTCTTAATCACTAGGATCTTGAATGTAGGATCGTTCTCGAATTGTAACGCTTTGTTCTCGCAGTTTGAAGCGAATGTACGCAGTATTTTATTGACAAAAAAAACGAGAGAAAAAATAACGTTTGCTTACGACCGTTCTAATACAAATCACCTGCAAACAATCATCAATCACAGAAATCATACGTTTAAATTTTGAACAGAAATTAGCAACATTTTGCTTCTTCTTCTGTATAATTTTAAAACCTCCCGATAGAAAACTGTCTTTTTAACTTTTCGACAACAAAACAATTGTTTCCTTCTATTTATTTTTCATTATTTTCTTTTTTTTTAGAAATATTAAACATTTATCCAACTTCTTTTGTTTTGTTTGGTTTTTTGATACCTCGTTTTTAGTCCGATTCAATCTTATAGAAAAGATTAACTTTCATAATATATTTTCCTTTCATTGATTCGCTCTTCCAAAATTGAACGATGAAATATAAATTCCTTAATTCAAGAATTCAGTGGAACTTTCAAAGTAACTCCTATGTCAGGCTAGGAAGTATTATAAAAATCCTATGGATTTTCGACGATCTCCAAATTCTTCCACTAATATGTAATACTTAAATCTGACTCGACCAATCTCTTCAGGTGGTAGTTTTCTACACTATATGATTCGAACGCAATAAAGATGCAACAGTAACAACAATAACTTCTTATATCCACTGAATCTGTCTTGTCAAATACGATTCTTCGAAACACATTAAATGGAGAATCACATGTCCGTTCCTTTTCTTCGATTTTTCTTCTCCAGCTTGTTGATGTCTTCAATGTCGAGACTCACCTCGGGACCCTTTTAAAGGGATTACACCTCTTGCTTTTCCACAGCAGTTTCGTCGACAAGATTGGCATTCTCGGCGAATTCCGAATCCTCTTGTCGATCGTGGCCACGCGAAATTAGACAGTCAACATTCGATGCTCGAGACGTTACACAGCTGATCCCAAGGGTTTCCCGACGATTTTCGTTCGCTTAGTTTTTAAATAGTCACATACAAACTCGCATACACTCATGTTCGTCGTGTTTACCGTGTTAAATTAAAAAAAGAAGAAGAGAAGTACCATTTTGTGTATTCTGAAATTACTTGACGATATTAGCCGATATCACATTACGTTCGAAATGATAATCACAAAAATTCACGTTTCGTACTTTCTCGAAACATTATTTTTATATCAATTATTGTTTTGATATATACACTATTCGATTAAAACGTTGATCATTTAAGTTTCATTTAAAAGTATTTGTGTTGAAACCAATATGATACAAGAAAACTTACGTGCAAATTCGGAAGGACGTGCAAATTCGAAACTTGAGATTAAATTGTCACGACAAAAGATCTTTTCAACTGCTTTTTATTATCAAATGTTTATCCCTGAATTTAAATTCTTTTATCAAACAAGTTTTCGAAGAAAAAAAAAAGAAAATATGCGTATATGTGCGAACATATCATCGAAGACCAGTGTCCAAAGCGATCGAATTTCTGCTCTGACTTTTCACGATCCCGTCCTCGGCAGATTCATGTATCTTGTAAATTTTTTGAATGTAATCCTCCTCGCTTCGTTGCGATTTTCCACATATTCTTCTTCTTTCTTTCTATTGTCCTCTAAGATCTTACAATCAACATCAAAGGAACTGTCACTGAAAGACTAATCATTTTCTGCATTTTCTTCTCTTTTCCATTGAATCTTTTAAATTTGCAACACGAAATTCTTTCAATATAGAAACTGTCTGTATTATTTTTATTCAAGACATCTTTCAATAGATCCATATAAAAAGAATTTCGTTTGTGTTTGTAAATATTCACTCTGAATAAAATGAATAAAATGATATATTTTCAGGGTTTGATCCGGATCTTTCCAGAATATATACAGTGATTTAATAAGGCAACGAATGCGATTTCCACGGTCTTATCTCAATTATCCGCATCATGGTCCCTGTGTTTAACGACGGGATAATATTTTATGAAGCTTCGAATCCATCTTCGACCATTATCCCCGGCCTGATAAAATTTTAATTGAAAGTTCCCACGGGAACACGTTTCCTTTGACATTTAAGATCCGCCTATTTCGTTGCAGCACGCTTTCATAACTGTCTAAATGCGAAGATCAACTGCGATTCAATTTCGTATCCCGTTTTTGTCAGTCATCTTCATTCGCCTCTTACACGCGCATCCTCGAATTTTCTCTATGGAAAGTAAAATAGTTCGTCAATAATAAAATATTCCATCTCGATCAATGTATGCATACAGAAATTAACTTTAGAGATCTGTAGACCGTTCAATATCACTTGAAAAGATTTAATATAAAATCAAGATTTGCTTCTTCGACCTCTTCCGTGTATTTCCTCAGTTACATAGAATAATTAAAAAAAGTTTGAAAGAAAACATAATTGTTGATCTTTTGCTTATAAACATTCGTTCATATTTCATCTCAAAATTCCTTCAAACTTAAATTCCAAATTTCTTCAAATCCTCGTATGCTCAAAATCCAACATCTCCTTCAACGTTAACAAATGAACTGATTTTCTTAAATTCCAAATGACAATTCACATTTCTTACGCTGGACCAGTGAAAAAATCGAAATCATCAAAAAGTCACTGTGCAACTTTCACGGATTTACCTCTGGTGAAAAGATATAAGAAGACAGAAATTGAAAATAAATAGATTGAAGTACAGATGATGCAAATTTTGCTCGTGTGTTTAAAGATGATTTTCACGCGTGTTCCCGCACTCACTTCAAACGGAAGCACAAATGAATCGACAAATAGTTCTTCGAGCTTAAACGAGCCGTCGATTCGTACCGGGGACAGGGGAAGAGATGACGCACGAGGTCGCGTAACACTAATCGAAGACGAACAATGTGCTCAGGACGAAAGCCCGCAACCAACTGTGGCTCTTGGCCACCCTGTAGTTCCATCACCCACCGCAACCTCGAATAAGGTGGTGGCTCTCGGCGCTTGCATGACGCGCAACGTTTACGGACCACGAAAAATATTTTTGTCTGGTCTATCGTTCACCGAGTAACAAATCGGACTTGTGAAATCTTTTCCGTTGTTTGAGTTTCACTTTAGTTAGAAAAAAGAGCGTACAACTGCGTACGATTCGTAAGAACATTTATTACGTAATGTATTAAAATTTAATAGTAATTTTATGAAATTAAATAAAAATCTAAAAATTTCAAATTTAGTCATTTAATTAAGAGCATATTTACATATTTCAGTTAATCAAGTAAATTATGTAAATTATGCAAGTTATATCCAATGATGATTATGTACAGATAGTAATTATTTAATTTATTCAATATGTTATGTCGCTAATTTGATTGCATTGAAAAATATTCAATTTTTATTAAAAATATCTGAAAAATATATCCTGCCAAAATCACGTGTCAATTGTCTTCGATTTGTCATAGTTGAAGTGAAAAATCGAAGATACTTGGTGAAATAGTGAGAACATAAATTAAAGCTGTAATTAAATCAAACTGTAAACAAAGGGAAAGTACAAACTATATACTGTATAAATATGTAAGATATTAATATTTTAAATTTCAATTTTAATGAACTAATGGAAAATATCGAAAAAGTATCGAAATTTTAGAAGTCCTAATTTGATAACTTAAATTATACTTAAATAATATACAAGGTAGCTCAATAATTTTTTCCACTTTGAATATCTCAATTGTTTTTGGAGATATAAAAAACTTTGTATTACGCCTATCTTTTTTTATACTTCTGTCACTACTATTTTTCATGCGATAATTTTATAAAATTGAAGTTAAAACATCTTCAAAACTAATAATTTGTTGACATGTATAAATTAATACTTTTTTTTGTAAGGAATGTTGAGCTGCATCAATTAATAAATCAAAAAATATATCATTTCAATTCACAAAAGTGATCTTAAAATCTTCGAAATCACAAGAAAGAAACTATTACTGTCATATTATGGCCCCTTCTGTACTGAATAATTTGTATTAACAAAGTTTTTTCATATCTTCAAAAACAACAGAGATATTCAAGGTAAACAGAATTATTAGGATATCCCAGGAGGAAACTGAATAATTTTATCACTCTGTGTAGTAGATTAATCCGAATAAAAAAAATCATATACACTATATAGTTTTGATTTACTTATTTTTTATTTTTCATATATTTTATATCTTTCTTTACATGTATAATTTAATAAAGACGGAAGGAAGATTAATATTTTAGGTAAACATAGAACTATTCAAAGTTTTCAGAAATAAAAATTTATTTTTCTATATTCTATATTTTCTATATATTCTATATTTTTAATTATTCTAATTATAAAATCTTTTTAAACAAATAAATAAAAGACAAGCTAATCGAATGTACATGACCTTTTTTATTCAAAATTACCAAATGAATGAATCAGACATACTAATAAAATTATTCGGCTGATTCTCTTGATCGATAATATATTATTTATACATAACATTACCCATGACTAAAATTATATTTTTAAAATAAGAAGTTCTTTTGAAATTAGTTCTACGAATTTTTAGACATACAATTATATTATATATATCGTGCCGTGTTTTTTAAACAAAATTCTACTAAAATATTAAAAACGCTTACAAAGAATGTAACATATGCATTTATACCTTATACTATTAGTTTATAAAAAATTAAATTTTCAAATTTGCTAAATTTCACGAAGAAGATATAAATTAAGATAAACTAAACTTAATTTTATTTCTTTGTCCATTCATTTACTTTTACTTTATTGCAATCATTGAATTACATTTTATGTTCTATATTTCAAAGTTGATATTGATTCAATCTACTTTTTAAACCTCAAATCATTTTATTTACAAATTTATTTGCCGCTTCAAAACTATTTGTATAACAATAGATCAATTATGATTTGATTTAAATTTGAATGTCATAAAATCTAAATTTCGAAAAAGTTTTTTGAGTCTAGAAAATATCCTAATAAATTAAGCTTAAAAAGTAAGAAAAATTCATTTCTTTACTTTACTTCTTTATTTTGAAAGTAAATGAATTTTGTATTCCTTTAAATCATGTTTACTGTTACTAGTTTTTTATTGTTATTAGTCAACAATAAATGATACGTTAAACTAGATGTTCACGTGTGTAATTTTTACCCTAAAGAGTAAAATTATGATATACCATAAAATGCATTTTATTTTCAGTACTATAATAGCAAAAAGAATGTAGAATTTGATATATTATTGGACATGATAAGAGATCGATGATAAATATAATATTAATGAAGGAAATGTATGAAATGTATGCATTTGCAGTCATCGATTTTATGAAAGCGAAGAAAGTAAAAGTGATGTTTTGGGCATGGAGGATAATTTAAATATTTATGAATTACAAAAATAAGTTAGAAAAATATGAATTAGGATACTGTATGAAGAATGATTTGTTTCGATACTTGATTAAACTACATATTATATACAGCAAATGTAAAAGTTATGTACAAATGAAATATGTAATTGCTCATAAAAAAAAAATTAGGAAAAAAATGAAATAGATTAAATAGGACTTCTATTCTGTTAACTTAGAAAATGATGTTTGAATATGTGAAATGAAGAATCGACCTGATATACGTGATATACATGACAAATATCTAAATTTAATTTTCTCGGAAATGAAGCAATTCATAAATAAGTTCTATTCCATATTTTCGATTATTCATTTTTATACTGTTTGGAATTAATACTTCTTCAAGCTCATTTTCTCGAAAATAACGTTTCATTTAAAAAAATTTTATTTTATATTTAAATTTTTAATTATGTAAATTAATTATATAATTTATATTTAAAAATTTTATTTATATATTACATTTTTTTTTCAATTTTTCATGACTAAAGTGTCACGCAATCGTAAGGCATATTCTTCTTAATTGAGAGTCTTCTCAAGTGAATTTAGAAGTCACCTGTTTGAAAATATTTTCTCACAAGCTACGCGATGCAATAGAAAGAGATATGTAATTATTTGAAAAAAAAACATTGATGACTTTGGAAATTTTGAAAAAAAACAATCTTTGAAAAAGCAAGACCTGCAGGATATTGGCCAATTAACACCATTCAAATTATATATAAAATATTATTTGCCTTCTCACAACTGAAAAAGATATTTGCGGGTCACACCTTGCATATATATAAAGACATCTTGTGTAAATGCAATATATACATATATGTATTTAATTAACTCAATGTAATGCTGCAACATAATAATCATTAATAATCATTAATAGTACACAATGCTGAATGCAAATTTAAATTAAGACAAAGCCAATGACAATGTATGGTAGTGAAAGTTCTTTTACTTATCATTTTTCGGTAATAGTTGAAATTCAATTAATTTGTTAAGAATTTATTAATTGTAGCATTTCCGAAAATTATACTAACTATACAAATCATAAAATATATTTTAGAATGGTTCTAGAAATAATTTCATTCTCTTGAAATATTATTTGAAATTATAAGATTCATAGATCAATGAAACAAAATTTCCGTAAAATTTTCGCTTCACTAGATTAAATAATTTATTTAATTCATTAAATATACAAATCCTAAAGTTATATTATATTTCTGTATCTTAGAGATTGCAATTGCAACTTTCTGCTATCTTCCTTGTCTTTATTTAATTTTAATTGTTATCTTAAAATTATAATTATTATAATTACAAAAATTTTTATGTAATTCTTATTTTAACTGGAAATTGAAAGTTTATGAAGTTCACACATTACAAAGAAAATAGATAGTTTAATATTAGTTATTTTTATTACCTAGTTTTTATTGTCTTTATTCTGCGATAGAAATTTTGATAAATTTGTGTATTTCAATGGAAAAGATATTTTTAAAATATTAAATAAAATTCTTTCCTTATTTTTAAATTCCAATCGTTTGAAACTTAAGTTTTGCTGGAAATTATCGATCTAAAACATTTGTTGAAGGGTGAGATGATATATGAAAAGTTCCATAGAAAATTTATTTCTTAACATGAAAATTGTAAGTACCAGCTACATAAAATATCTTACTATAATCTCAACTAATTCAAGTCAAATGAAAATGTGAAAATTTGAATTTTAACATTTTCTTAAATAAAAAGTAAAAGAAAGAAGGATAATTCTTCGAAATATATATTATAGTCATCTTACTGATTTCAATGACTTTAAAATGTGTCAAAGTCATCATTCTGAATAACTTTCCTCCATTTGTTTCTATTGCTCGGCTTTAATTATTGAGATATTTATCAAAATCTTTTGACATTATTTTAGTATAGACTAGATTCAGATTAGTATCATAATATTATCTAGTATCAATTTGGATTAAATAAATTTCCAAATTTATTTTAGTATAGACTAGGTTCAGATTAGTATCATAATATTATCTAGTATCAATTTAGATTAAATAAATTTCCGAATTTCATTCAATTCTATAAGTGTATTATAAATTCAATTACTATTATTTATTTTATTAATAAATAATTATATTTAAATTTTAATATTATACGTTATTTTCGTTAAATTGTATTAATATTTGTAAATAATTTTATTTATATTGCAATTTATAAGTACAGAGAGATGAAAAAGAGGAATTTCCAATTAACTTAGAAAATATATATTTCAGTAACTAACAAAATCATTGACAGCATTACTTATCAACATATAGGATATTCCGATAACCATGATAAAACAACCCGTACAACGAATAATTTCTTATAAAAAAAAAGTCAAAAATGTAGAACGAAATTTCCGGTTTTGTTTCAAAAAAATCGTGTTTGAAAATTTATCAAGTATATTTGAATTCAATTAATTCTAAGTACGATAGACAAAAAATAAATTTTATAAAATAGAATTTTTTTGTAACATGCATC